ATAATATGTACATAAGAGACACAAAATTATCTCGATTATAAAGAAAAACACATGAAATATACTTTTTTGTTTAACATAGTCAACTTTTTTTTCCAGAGATGATGTTTCATTTCACATTTGCCCTCATAATATTTCCTTTAAATCACATTGCTTGCCTACAATATTTCACTGTATTCAATTTTTTCATTATCGAACAATACTTCTGTTTTTCTGAGAAAAAAATAAGACCTTGTTCCAAATATTTTTAGTACTCACAGTCATAAAATAATGATACAATTTTTCCGTGCATTTGCACTTCAAACAATAATCATGATCAGATTTTTGAAACGATATAGATATTCTTCACATGCTAATAAATTATAGAGTAGTTTGAAATTAAACTGTTTTAATCGTTTGACTTGTAAAGTATAGTTTGTGAGTTGCGGATGTAGGTGAAGTGAGTTGGTGGGTATGGGATAATCATAGTTATATGGAGATTAAAATATAGAACAAAATATTGGTGTTGCCGATAATTTAAGACACACTTTCCGTTTTATCATTATGTTTAAACGTATTGTTTTTTGACACACTGATGCGACAAGTGACGTAACTATTTACTATTTTTAAAGTGCCCTTCTATACCCCTGCTTCTCTGGCTTTCGCTGGCACTGCGATATACCATCAATAATGACAAACAAATCGGCTGTATGACCAAGCTCCTGAATAGAAAATGTCTCCGCTTCATACACTTACCAAATTCTTGAACGCTGGACTTTACACTACATCTAACCTACTAAACCATAAGCCCCTAAACCCAATTGTGACTTTAGCCCCAGTCCTTTACTTTTTGATGAAAAATAAAGCTAGGAGCATCAGCATGATCAGTAATTGAGGTGTCGAATTGCCAGCTAAAAATTGATAGGTACGGTTAATAAGTGTGCGTGTTGTTTCGTAGGGTAGGGGACATCATTTAGTTCCATCAATCGTACAATCTATGAAATAAAAATGTTTTGAATTCATGTCTAGGAAAAGCAACTGTATTCTATTTTCTAAGATTGATTTGTTTTGTTTGGAATCCATAAAAAACTATTGAAAAATAAATTGTGGTTTGGCGACAAGATGTAGATGTTTTTTGTTGAAACACACAATATGATGTAGTGATGCTATCTTTCATTACATTTTGAAGAAACTGTGAGGTGTTCCATTTCTTCGCCTTGTAAAATTTAACTTTTAGGAATTCCCAATAAAAATTTCATATATACATTGTATGTGCATACCCATGGCAAAAGGTGGCATCCGTGCCTAAAGTCATGTATTGTGCCTTTTACATTACTACCACGAACTAAAAGATCATTCTGTAGATTCCACACCCCTCCCTCTTTTTTAAATGTTCCTTTTTTTTTTCTTGTGATGTTCCTGTTCGCATCTCGTTTTTATCTCGCTTTTACAATTGTACCATTATTATCATTGTATTCTTACTGTAAGCATTCCGATTATGACACACTCCATAGTCCTTGAAAAAAGTGAGAATGAGGAAGATTTTGTTTTGACATAAATACCGCAAAGAGCATAACCGAAGACAAATTATCTTGACACCTGACAGTACGGTAAAGCTGAAACTCACCAGACAACATCCAATTATAGACATAGTCCTTACTATAGGGTATAGCACCAACCCTTGCAGCAAAAAAGTGGGAAAAAAGAAGCAGGCTTAAAGGTACCAGTGTTGGAAACGCCCCATCTCAAAAGATGAAATGGGAGCTCTTATTACCGATCATGTGAAGAATATGTTTTGACTAATATTGATGAAACAAATGTTGCCGGGAAACCCGCCTACTAATTGATATATTTGGTAAATTATTATATCTATACGGCCTGGATAGATATCGCGTAGTCCCATATACATCTTTCTGTGTACAGCGCTTGTAACTTTAACAACTGGGCCAGATTTCTTCTCATTTTGATGATTCCAGAACCTTGCAGTACACACCAATACTTATAAGCTAGATGATCAATCTTTTCTGATCGATTCCACAGCGTTTTCTTTCACAATGCAATCGCATGACCGGAACTGGTCTATACCTTTAAACATTGAAAATGGAAAATAAAGCAAAGGTTTTAAGAATTTATACTTTGTAGTTGATAGGAACTGAGAATTAACCACCCCTGCAGTTCGAATAAAAAATGTTTCCAGGACGTGACAGAATTTCTGTCGGAAAGTTTTTTCGACATTGGTGAACGTCCTCAGAACGTTATATGAGTGCTGGGACTGTATAGTTCGAAACGGAGTAGGGGAGAGATTTGATAATCCTGCTTCAAAATAAGAACATAATTATATTGAAGACATTACATCCAAGTAGCGAGATAACACCTAAAATTTTGACATGGTAGTTTAATTTATCAATCAGTAAAAAAAACGCACGTTAAATCAAATAATCTTTGGATCATTATAAACGTTGATATGAAAAATATATAAAATCAATTTGATTAAAACATGGAAGTAATTTCAAAAGAATAATTAATTATTTTACTATCATATTATCTCGATACTAATGACCTTAAGACCATTTTGATTGAGTCGAAGAAAATACTTTTTTAAATATAAACCTGTCTTGTGGCAATTTATGTGATTTCTCTGAATTAAAGCAGAAAACTTCAGCTTCCAAAATGACTATCAACACAAACACGTAAACAAACAAACAAAAGTCAAGCAAACAAGCAAGCAAAAAAAAAAACACACACGACGCGCACACACAAATCGAATAGAGGTCGTAAGAACCTCTAAGCATCTCAATCTTATAAAAAAAACATTATCTCAATATTTTTCAAGTGAATAACATCAAACGAGTCTTATGTTTACTGTCTGAAGAGTCTGAAGAAGCTCTTTACTTTTATTTCAGTAAAATCTCAAAAAGTATCACAAGGTTGCGTTCACACACAATTCGATATACAATGTTTTAAAAGAAGACCGTCTACATAGAAGATGCTTTGCATAATTATAGACATAATTTTTTTTATTTGAAACAGCCACGCATGCGATATCGTTAAAAATCCTGTCAACTGCTCGTATTTATAAAACTAAACTACATCATTTCATCATATAATACAAAATGAGTCATAACTGTAAAAAAATTAATATATGGAACTAACATTATCCCTCGTACCAATTACAAAAATTTACGCGCTAACACGCCATCACCAAAACCACTGATTTATTTTATCCAGTTCTAGTAAACTGAGAATGCTAGGCTGAAATATTTATTTCTACGTGCGGTTTTCTTTTCAATTGCATAACACACATTTTGTCCTCTATGCAATATTCATAATTTGCATAAATATACGATCAAAGAAATTATCACTTTCTTACATTTGCTGTGAGATACGCAAGATGTTTTGGATGTCTCAAATGACCTTGCTTTATCTTTTTGTATGAGGGCTTAGATATCTTTGTTTTTCTCTCCAAGAAGTCATGAAGGGGTTGTTGATACCTTATGCTGTCGGGCTCATGGGCCGACCGCTATTTAAAATGACCATGGTGCATGAAATCTAGAATTGAAATGTACGGACAATTTCCCAACAAATCACAAAAATCATCATTACTGGGTGATCTCCCAGTAGAGAAGCAACAAAGATAATACATTAGATAGGTTTATTAGATGCATACGAGACCAAATTGTATTACGGTCTCTCGCGAATTCCTGTTCTAAAAAACTTATCTGAATGAACATGACGAAGATTATGATACATCCTTTCAAGCGTTGCATTCTATCCTGTTGCCAAGGATGGTTACCACGGACGCCACGTGACCTTGGGACTAACCCCCATTCACTGACGTCACATCTTTCATTTCTTTCGGGACCGGCGACTGGTGGATGAGGGGCTGTTTGGATGTTGGCCTACTGGTCGATCAGGGATAGGCCGGGAACGATGCGCTGATCGACAAGGGGTCGTGGTCGGTCGCATGTCGGATCTAGAGACACGAATCTTAGTGATAACTTTATTGGAGCCTATCCTAGGAAGGGTGCGGGAGTGGTGGTATTTTGTACCCTAATGGGTCTTTGTCGTGAGAGATTGCGGTGCGTCGACGCTTTCTCGCGCATGCATTAGCGGAAGGGGTTCGGAAGTGGTATTGAAAGAAGTCTCACTATGGGTAGCAGGTTGTTGGCCAGCAGGGGCTGTGATACTAATAGAATGGTGTTTTGGACAGGTATCAATCCCGACGCGGATATCAGCGGGGAAATAGTAGTTAGCGAAGAAGCTACAGACCGAAATGTGTTTTGATTAAGAGGGTTTGGTGACATGAGTTATGTTTTCAGTCATATTTGTTGTGCTTATAGGATGTGAGTGAGATTGAGACCGTGATGGTTGTTTGATTAGAGAGGTTCTTGTTGAGGGTGTTGGGGATGTGGTTGATGATAGTATGGGAGGTGTGTTTCATGTTCCAGTGATGCTGTCGACGACGATGGTGATGATGATGAAGATGACGATGATAATGAAATAGGGTTAGAAATAGAAAATGAAGATGGAATCAAACAAGGATTTATGTCACACGATTCAAAACGTCTAAATAAGATTTGTTAGTAACAGTTTGCGCGGAGGCTTGACTTGACATCACCGACTGCCTTGGTTATCCGTCGAATCCATCTCGGAGTCAGGAGCAGAAGGATGAGCGCAGGTTGATGGTGGGTTGTGGAGAAAAGCATACCCGCCACTCGCCGGAGCAACAGCACTCCCTAACAAGTTAGATGCGTGCCCGTACCAGGGCAACGGGAGTCAGCACCACAGGCGTTGATGGTGAGAGAGATGGGATGTTTGAGAGTACCGTCGATGTTGGAGGAGCTGAGCCGGTGAGATGGTGGGAGAGCTTGCCGCGTAAATTGGGATCACATGGGTTGGTATTTGGCCCGAATACACAGGATTCCCTGTAAGACCAATCTAATCTCTTCGCCTGGCATCAGACCAGTCGGATTGACCGAAGGGCAAGCTATCGACTCAAGCGTAGCTACACTTCCTCCTTCAGAAAAACACACTGGCTGACTGGACTAGGTTTACAAGTCCTCCTCCTCCGACCTCTTCATGCACCTGGGAGCTGCTGCATCAGGGGGTTGCAATGACGTCATAAAGGCGTTTTATTTGCCGTGTAGAACTGCAATGTCGGGATGTTTATTTGAATGTCCGAGATTCGGAGTGTCTGCGACATTCTTCTGTTCTTAGATAGCCATTCTCTCTGCTCCGTTGCTATAACCATGATCAGTAACTCGTGTGACGAGATGGTCTAGGAGACTGGCTTGAAGATGACGTTCACCTGCTTCCCTCTTCATCAAATTTTGAAGAATAGCGCTTGATTAGGAGCATTGTTGGTGTTGCTGGTTGCGTTTCAAGTATCTGGAGACTTCTCGCATGCATTCTGCGTAGCCAGTCTGGTATTGGGCAATGTTTGCTTGTTCGTTATGTGAACCAATGCCTGCAAAATTGAAGATGAACAAGAATTTGTAATATACCGAAATCTGCGCCTATTTACTCAATCATTGGATTTAAAAAGCCCCCATTTCGGTTCCCGTATTAGATTTTTTTATCTTGCTAAATGAATATGTAATTTTTTTAAATTTTTTATTAAAGCGTAGTATTTACCTCTTACAACCGAAAAAGAGTTTATGTATCATTTCTTAAACTATCTATTTCGTAAATTTGATTTCACATGATAATAGCACTTGAACTGTTTTTTGCAATGCATTTGAAAGCTTGATCAAAATAAAGGTTATTATATGGAAATTTGTTATTATTATCATTATTATTATTATAAGTGTTAATATTATCAATTGAAGATGTAATATTGGTAGTATCATTATCATCACCATTTTATTCATTATTGCTATTATCATTATTATAATTGTTATCATCACAGTTTTCATAGTTTCTCACCTGAAAGTTGCTGGCGATGGATTGATCGCAGATATCGTACTGTCATTTCTAAATATATCAGCCTTCTCCATTTGGAATGACGAGGATTCTGAATAAAGTACATATAATACAACGTTACCATGGTAGTTTTTGCTCTTTTTTTCCGAGAAAAATCTCCATAGTGTAATGTTACGTTGTAGATCAATTCGAAAGTATTCGAAAATAGTCTTAAAATCGTTTTGTTATATTTTTAATTATTGACTTGTTCTCTTTCTTTTTCATATGTCGTATCCTACTCAAGTTATCCTTTTTAGAATGAATTATTTAGTGCTTTTATGTTCTTTCATCTTTTGCACTAGAGCCTTTTGAATATTTGATTTCTGGTGAATCTGGTGCCTGACAAATCTGGTATATAATTATCATTCTTGTTCTTCCTCTTCTTCTTCTTCTTCATATTATTATTATCATTAGTAGTAGTAGTAGTAGTAGTAGTAGTAGTAGTAGTAGTAAAAGTAGTAGCAGTAGTAGTTTTTTAGTGGCAAAGAAAATAAAGCTGAGGAAAAACGATATTTCTTTGTATTTAATCTTGTAATCTTTATAATCTAAATAGGAGAACAAGCTATCGTAGGATGCCATCTTATCTATTCCATTATTCTTTGGGTTTCCTTAAGTCAGGAGGAGCTCTATAAAAAGGTGAATGCAGAAGAATTCAGCGTTAATTATTGTCTTCATTTTTCTCACCTATTATTCTGCAAAACTTGTATCGGGCCATTTTACAAATGGAAAATTCCCATAAGTAGATCACTTGTTTTAACAGCTGTATATGTATGAATGTGATTGTGTATCAAAGTTTCTACGCCCCTTTTAATAAAGTACTACCACCCCTTGCTATTAACACCAACGACAAAACCTGTCAAAAACAGAAGAAGATATACCCCGTACCTATCCCAGAGGGGTTCCGCCCCATTTCTCTACCAAACAACTCCCCTCTGACAAATCAGACCAGAAAACATCATGCCTGAGGACCATGGAGAGACCCAGGGTGCAAAGCTAACAGTTTGTTTGGGTTACGGGACAGATAATACACCCTAACATGTCTAGTGTGCAGTGTTTACAATTCTCATGCCTGGTATGGTATTCAAACAACATCCCACCTGTACAGTTATATCTATTATTTGATTTCTTTTTTTTCTTTTTTTTTCTGTCAGATGTGAATTTAATGATGAGTCATATTGCTAATATTTTCGGCATTCATTTCCCACGACCTAGTTCGCGTGGTTCGATTTTTTTTCCTCTCTGTCCTCTCGGCCCAATAAAGATTGTGTGAAGTGTGTTTATGGTTTGTCAATTTTCACTAGTCTTATACAAAAACAAAATGAATTGATATGATGAATGCAAAGTGGGAGTGCACCCAAGGTCATAAATATATCATTTTTCCCAGGCATATTGATATTCACTTTATATAAAAAATAAAAAAAATTACCTGTGAGATTATGATTTTAACCTATTGGATAATTATACGTTTTTAACATGATTAATTAGTAAAGTATCAGCCAAGTTTTCAACATTGTTACCTCATTTAAAATCATAGTACACAATATCTGCCTGTAATCAATCATACCCAAAGTGCGCAAAATAATAAATAACTTTGACAAGAGTCATATTTGCAAAACTTTAAAAACTATGAAAAATTAACAAATCAGAATCAGGAAGGTTTCAAATTTTTTTCAGAAGACAGAACTTTTTTTTTCATAGTATGCCTCAATATTATCAAAGACATGATTGGATTTGAAATCAATATTCTCGTGAATTTTAAACTGTTAAGGCAAAGTTATTTAAATAGATGACTTTTTTTTTTAAATTGTTTTTATTTCATTTTTTCTTTTTGTAAATAATTGATCTACAAACTTTTACCAGTGACAATAAATTTCCGAATGGATAATTAATAATTATGCGATGTTATAAGATTATTGTTGTCAATATTCCTGTCTTGCATCACATTACGGTTTCCAGATAATAGAAATGAAATGGGATCAGAAAAAGATCTTACGTTTTTATTGAGAGCATCGAGAACCAGACTCTTCAGCTGTAGAAGACTGTCATTAATACGAGCTCGACGTCGCTTCTCCATCTGGGGCTTCAACGACTACGGGGATAACAAAGAAAAGGAGAGAGAAAGATATGAATAGACAACATTATTCTAACAACACATTCCACTATAAATAAAACATAAAACGAAAAACAAGTTAAAAAAAATGAACAACAAGTACAGAGAAACACTGAACGTTTGCCCTTAACGTATGGTGTCGATCTATCTTCAGCATTGGAGTGGGAGAGGGGGAGGGGGCGGGGGTTGGGGAGGGTATCACTCTGACTTTTTCAATCCTTCTATTCCTATTTCACTTCATTCATTTATTTCCCCATTCATTTCTCTAGTCATGAGCCGGAGAATAAGACTTTCCTAGAGATGCAAGCATTTATTTATCTATTCATATCAAATCATTATTAGGATATTAAGTGACATGTTTGTCTCTTTTATTCTTCCAATCCACATCTTTGTCTGTCTCTGTCTGTCTGTCTCTGCTTGTATGTCTGCCTGCCTGCCTCTCTCTCTGTCTCTCTCCCTGTCTTTATATATATTATATATATATATATATATATATATATATATATTCCATCTATCTCTTTCTAGTTATTCTAACTGATTATTATTTGATATTCATCATACTTTCCACTTCTCCGCACCCTTGTTTTCCTGTCTACGTTTCTCAGACAAATTTCCCCTCAATGAACTAGTAATGGCGTAATTACGCCACTTTTAATATTTTCTTTCGTAAAAAAGCCATGTCTTACTAATCAAGTGTGCGCCCATTTTACCATCACTCTCAATCTGCCGGGATAAATTCGAAGGAGGAGTGAAAAATGCACGAACTATTCAGCACTTTGAATCGTTGCCATAGTGACTAGACGCCTAATCGAACGTAAACCGTTTTTATTTCGATGAAAAAACGAGCCTTTCCAAAGAGCGGGAAACTATATGCATGAAGTATTTTTGTTTCATTAGTTTAGCGATGAGGTTGATGAGAAGGAGAATGGGAGTGGAGAAAAGGAAGGAGGAGGATGGGGAGACTGGAGGAGAGGAATGAGAAGGATTTGAAATAAAGGAAATAGAGATGAGAATAGGAGAGTAGACAATGAGAGAGTGAGAGTGAAATAGTTAAAGGAGAGAGGGTGTAAATTAAAGGAAGATTACAGAATGAAGAAGGAGAAGTAATACAATTATTTTTTAACAAAGAGTCATAACACAGGCATCATTTGATGACACAGTGGATGTGTCGTCTTATAGTGGTAAATTCACTTGGCTCACAATCCAAGAGTTGAGGGTTCGAATCTTCACCAAGGTGTAAATGGGTACCTGGCAATTGCTGGGGTAATAATAATTGCAGGGCCATAATGAAGAACAGCATTGATGCTGGAGAGTGGGAAATGTGGAGAAATGTCTTGCTAAAAGGATGTTTACTATATAGTGAACGGCTGGGATTCGAACCCTAAACCCTTGGAGTGAGAGTCAAGTGAATGGACCACTGTACTATGACGCCTCTACAAACACGACTCCGTGGCTCCGATACGTACCCTACTAGGTGGATGTTGGTCGTCGGTAGGCATCGCTCTTCTCAGATACGTCTCTCGCAGGATGAGAACCTATTCTCCAGTTAAGAAATTCGATTTAAAGAATTCAACGATATCACTCCAAAAGGAATCTTGGAAAAGCTGAAGTTTGCTTCTCTTTAAATTTAAAGAAATAAAGAATACAATTCTGTAGAAACATCCAATGACTGAGAACGAGGCGGACACCTTGTGAACGTCATACTATCCCACTGAAGAGCGAGGGTCTACTTTCTGAATAAAAGTTTATAAACTTCTATTTTCTTCCATGAGATTTATATTCTACTAAAATTCACATCCGTATTATTTTCATCGTGGGAAATTCCGAAATCAACCTAGATTTTAAGTTCTTGTGCGATAAACATATTCTATTTCATTGTATTAACCAGGGGTAAAAATGTGATTGTGATTATTATTGATTATGATTTTTCTTACTTTGGTGTCTGTATGCTACTTGGGGATCATGAATAGGAGAGAAATATTCCCACGTTGGCTCAGGTGAATAATTTGTTGTAAAGATAAATATCTCTTATTGTTTCGTAGTGTTAACAAAAGGAAATTTGTCTATTAAAATGTTCTCTCTCTCTCTCTCTCTCTCTCTATCTCTCACACACCACACACGCCCACACACCCTCATACAAACATACCACACACCCACACGCACACACTCTCTATTCCTGTCTTTCTGTATCTATGGTTCTGTCTATTAACCCCTTCACTCTCCCACTTTCACAAATTCTCTTTCCCCATCTTTATTTTCTTCATAATCTGTCTATATATTTCAGTTTCTCTTTCTCTCTGTCCCTCTCGCTCGCGCTCTCTCCCTCTCTCTCTCTCTCCCTCTCTTTCTCTCCCATTTCATCGCCCTCGCCATCTCTGTCTGTGTGGTTGTTGACTTCAGTTCTGCACGCGTGTGAATTCACCGCTTTACCTTTTTCCACACTCCGAATTCCGACATCTATGCCTTCTAATATAAAGGCTAAAATAAGGCCTTATTCCTAAACAATCGCTCCGAAAGATAGGCCTTGTAGGCACGCATAATGCCTTGCGATTCACCTTTGCTACCTCCAGAGTATTGTTCCCCCTGCGATTCCTAGAGAGCGAGAGAGAGAGAGAGAGAGAGAGGAGAGAGAGAGAGAGATGGAGGGAGAGAGAGAGAGAAAGATAATAATCATATTTCATAGTAACGATATAATGAGATATGCAATTCAGCCATTGGACGAGCGACACCCCGTTAAGAAACTTTGAGGTGTGCAGGAACGTGCTAGGCGCTCTTGATTGGCTACCCGATTTGGACTCGTCCATTATGTCATGGGGCTCCTAACTAATGATATATCGCATAGGGATGAACCTGGAGAAGGTAAGGAAATTAATCAGTTCAGTTCAGTTCAGATTCATTAACAATACAAAATGTTTTATCTGTTTCAAGAACAAAATCATATTACGTATGCATTTTGATAATGCAAAATAACTACATGAAGCCAAGCGCTTTGTGTCTCCCAAGTCCCTGGTCTACACTTGCTTGTATATTAGATACTGGGGTAAAATCGAAATGAAATAAGAAACCTAAAGTAGAAGCGATGTTTTTGGCTACATGCCCCCCCCCCCACCCCCCAAGAAGGTTACATCACAGATAGTGGAGTCACACGAATCAATGAGAGACATGAGGATGGAGGGGAGGGGGGTAGGGGGTGATGAAGAGAAAACAAGAGAGAGCCGAGCAAAGAAAGAGGATAAGAGGGAGTGAATGAGAAAACCATAGAAATATAACAAAAGAAAATATAAAGAGCGAGAGAAATTGAGAGAGGCAGACAGATAGAAAGCTGAAAGAGAAAAATAAAGAAAGGACAGAACGAAGGAGACAACTGAATATAAATAGAACAAAGGGAGAAGAAGAGAGAGGACAGAGAGAGACAGAGATAGAGGGAGACAGAGGAGAACGGAAAGGCAAGGGGGTAAAGGGTATGGATTTGTTTTTTCAATCTAAATTTATTATTCCATGTTTTTATTTTCATCATTCCTTATCCAGCTTATATCACGAGTGTAACGAAGAAGCGATTTAATAATCCAGGATTTCCTAGGCATGAAATCAAATCTTTCCACCCGTCTGCACAGTTGCCTCATGGCGACAGATATACTTAAACCAATTCAGCAACGTTAATATTTAGTCGTTATCAAAAATACACGAAATTTTGAACTATACATCACTTCCTTCAACGGGATCACACGTATGATACGTAGAGGTGTCGTGGTCTAATTGTTACGTCTTCGGCATGTAGATAACATGGTTCGCGGTTCGAGTCCCGCCGCGGCACTATTGTCCTTTTGGAATACATTTAACTACATTTGCCACTCTCCACCCAGATGTTGAATGGGTACCGGTAGGAATGAACTCCTTAAAACATGGCAGTAATGGAATTGGGAGCCTCGCAGAGAAGGGGTAATATAGGAAGGAGGGCCATGAACACCTTGCGTGGTGGTTACTTGCGCTATAAAAAATGCCCATTATTTATTTTTAATTTTAATTTTTAAGTCTCAGATTATGAAAAGAATTACGGGTTGCTCCAATCGAATCATAAGGATCATACAATTTAGTAATACCCTTACGCTATAGGAGCGTCTCACAGTGACGAACAAAAACGCCTTAACAGAGACTATCATTTGTAAAACTATTATTTTTATTTTTATTATATATTATTATCATTTTTATTTTTTATTATTATTGTTGTCAATTATTATTTCTTCAGTATCCTCTTGATTTACAGTAGTTCCTTCAGAGCTTCTCAAGGAAACCCTGTAGGCAAATTACAAAGTACATGGTAAAAATTACAACAGAAACAAATATAAACATATAGATAATACACAGTTATTTACTGCTAAATAAATTAGGTACGTTAACACAAAACACGTTTCAGTTTGAAAAGACGAACTACTTGAAATTCAAGCTTGGTTAAATGTTCCACAAAAAAAGGGCATTTATTTATCAATTAAACAAGACGGTTTTTGTTGCTGTTTTTATTATCATTGTTGTTATCAAATAGTATTAGTATCATTATCACTATTAATATTATCATTATCGTAATATAATAACAATGTTTGAATGACTTTCTCTGCTCAAGTTTGTTTGTAATCACATGATTTAATTTGATTCACCATGAACAGGTAAACAATAATATTCATTCCGAAAATTGGTGACACCGTGATGTAGTTATTTGAAAAATACCTGCTATACAAGTAATGTAGGCCTAGCCTATATGAAAAAAAAAAAAAAACAATCGCTTCGAAAATCTACAGATTGCTTAGAAATTTTCTCCATCTAGTATGCTTGTTGTTATTATCTTGCACGAATTATTGCAGGTTAAAACACCTATGAAAGCGAATATGTGAAAGCTTAACGCGAATCATCGCACGACAATCTAAAAGTCTTCTATAAATAACCTCGATTATCAACATCTTTTGTTAGTTTAGATGATTTTTTTTATGCTGGGATAGTGTTTGGAGATATTCTGATTTTGGATTTACGACATTCTTGCTGAGCTGATGCATCTGGCAACCACATGTATATAGCTTGAGAAGTGGAGTCGGGGGAGGGAAGGAGAGGGGTTCAGGAGGGGAATTCAGTTATAGGATGGGGCTGCCATTTCAATGAATTACCTAGCCCGAATAGAATTAAACATTTGTCAATATCTTAGTTATGTTGATTTTTCGACCGCCCCCCTCCCCTGTCGGGTGTGGAAGCACGGTGGGTATGTTGGTTAATGCTCGAAACTCTTATACGAGAGGTCCAGTGTCCGATCCACGCTTGGCTCTGACAATCTTGGATAAGGTGCTTTGCCCACAGTGGTTCCTCTTTCCCAGTAGTTAATGGATACCTGGTTTAAAAGTGGTCAGTGCTCGGCCCTTTCAAATAGTGATTAAACAATATATTTTAGATTTAAGAGTAATATTTATGCCTACATTGTAGGCAGCTAGTGAGGACTTTTAGCCTCGTACAACTACAGGAAAAATTTTAAATATTGATATGAACAACTATAGCAGAGAGATAGCGACAGGGAATTCTGTTTCTTTTGCTTTTTACTAATACTCAAGAGTTCTATAAGACAATAAGAGAGGAGAAATGATGAAAACGAATCGTTGATGCAAAGGAGAAGAGAGAAGAAAACTATTTAAAAAAAGAAAAAAGATTGACATTAGAAGGGCTAAACAAGAATCAGAGTTAAAATCCTCGAATTCATCCCACAGATTTGTGAGAGTTTCAATCATTCTCTCTACACAGAAATCTTGAGATTATTTACTAATCTTACAAAGAACTGCAGGACTTTGAAAGATGGTCTGTACGTAAAAGCCGCTTAGGTTGTAACTGACCCCGATTATCCTCGTAATCCAGACATTTCACACCAAGAAGGTGATAATAAGTAATCTATCTTCCCTCCCAGATGGATTCAATGGGCAGGAAAGCTGTATAAAATAACAAGGAGTCAAAGAAAACGCATTTGATATTCTTGACAACATTAATTTGGCAGTATGGCGGAATAATGGCCCATGCCTGGGTGAATTCCATGAGATGACACGTGGAGAAAGCTAATTCATATGGGTCCCAGGTTGATCTCTGCAGAAGTTTCTTACAATAAAATAAATAGTGCCATTTTGGGATTAGGATGGGTTTTCTTGATGTGCTTTGTAGAGAGAGCTAGAGGCGAGTCAACCTGAGCAAGTAGACAGACTACTGGCAACAGGTGAACGATGGTCAACGACCTTTTGATCATTCGAGTTCAGACCCTCACCCCTTCAGAATAATACCATCTAGGACTACAATTGATGTATTACCATCTGAAGATTTGTCTTAGAAATTATTATGAAAGAGTTATGAACACTGATATAATATTATGTACATCTGTGTACATACGTACACATTCACACACCCATACGCACAAACCCACACACACCCACACGCACATACATATTTACACAATCTTTCCCCCGCTCTTTCTCTCTTTCGTCTTCTTCTCCTTCTTCTTCTTCTCCTCCTTCTTCTTCTTCTTCTTCTTCTTCTTCTTCTCCTCCTTTCTTCTTCTCTTCTTCTTCTTCTTCTTCTCCTCCTTCTTCTTCTTCTTCTTCTTCTTCTTCTCCTTCTTCTTCTTCTTCTTCTTCTTCTTCTCCTTCTTCTTCTACCTCTTCTTCTTCTTTTTCTTCTTCTTCTCCTACATCTCCTCCTCCTTCTTTTCTTTAATGATTTCGACCTTTAAATCCTCATTCTTCTTTCAATTATAACACATCCAATTTACTTTTCAGTGTTTTGGTCATCGTATTCATTAAAAAAAACTTGAAGACCAATATAATATATAAAATATACGCCTTTGCTTATTTGTCAATTATTAGGGCTTTACCATGACTATAAATGGGTTTTCAGATGTGACAAAAAAAAATATAGATAAAAAGTAATGCAAAGAATAAATTAAATTCTACTCATCTATTGAATGTTTAGTTTCAATTTGACATCATATAATCCTTTCTCAATGTTATCTCAGGCTTATTACAATAAGGGCTAAACATTTTTTTCTTTCTTATTTGCTTGAATGATGATTGGATCATCTCCGCCTAATAAAGGTTAATTGGGCTTTTCTAGGACACCAGGGCATGATTTTTGTCTTGCTTGCTACGCTTTTATGCCACGCTACGTATATATATAGTGAAATGAATAGACAGGTAGATAAGTAAATAACTGAATTAATGAATGAACAGATACAAAAATTGGTAGTTAAACAAACAAACAACAAACAAATAAGTAAATACATTAATTAATGAATACACAAATATACAAATAAATAACTAAATAAATAAATAAATGAAAACGTATATTAATAAAAACATTATGAAAATAAATCAATTTATAGACAAATGAAATAAGTAAAGCTTTTGTCCTATTAGTATTATGTAAGGAAAGTTAAGACATTTATAAAATGACAAGCCTAAAGACACCTGCAAACATCGACCTATTTTCTATTCCTTAATAACAAAAAACCGTCAATGTTTATTTCATTGTGAATATCTATCAATAGAACCAAAGGAGAGGGTGTTAACAAAACAGATGAAGAGCAACAAAATGGTGGATCAAGAACGCTTTCCACGAATGATCTGTCTCTGCTTGTGTGCATTAATGGAATTTTAAACGCGAGGACTGGCGCCTATCAGAATATCTTCGCACCTAATGATGAAATAACTTACTGCTAAATCCGATTTAGTCAATCCGAGACTAGGTCCTCTTTCAATAACGCATTGCCCATTAGTGATAACAATGGCGTAGCCAAACTGGGATGGAGACGGTTTTTCGCTTCATTTGATATTTTAAAACTTCTCCCTGACTTGTAGATGTACTTTTATGGCTCGCAGCATATCCAGGCGATGACCATGGTATGACCGTATGAGTATCTTAACGGACAACTACAGCTAGGACAACTTATTACACGGAGGATTATTGTCCAACGAATGGTATACCACTGATGGCATTTTCTAGGGCAATAATTGCTTCCGGCAATTACACATAGATCATGACTGGGCAAGTGCCTAATGGATAGCGGTGTTATGGTAGCTCTTGTCCGTGTATTTCCATAGTGAATAGTTATCCGGAGTAATAGTCCGGGGATTGAGGGATGGTTTGTCCCAGAATCGGCCTAAAGTATTCCTGAGATAGCAATGCGTGGGGATGGGGGGGGGGGGGGGGGGGGGGGGGGGGGGGGTGGGGGGGGTGGGGGGGGGGGGGGGGGGGGGGGGGGGGGGGGGGGGGGGGGGGGGGGGG